ACAGTGTTGGCATGTACCATTAATCCAAACATCAAGTTGTTTTAGAAAAAACTATATCTAAACAATGAAGCACTTTAGTACTTGCCCTAAAAAGCTAACCCCCCAACTGTATGAATATCCTTGCTAGCTTCAAAAACACACTGTGAAATGTGTGAAAAGACCCGATTTATGTGTGTGCATTACAATCTAAATCTTTTTTTTTTCCATCTAGCATTTTGCCATGGTGCCTAACTAGATTTGAATTTTAAGAATCTTTCCCGTCGGACATTACCTAATACATGTTCCAGTCTGGAGACGTTCCAGACGTGAGCTCTAATTTTCCCACCTAGCTTGATAAATTGTAAATTGATTTCCTTTATATGGAGTCTTTTTGTTCTGGTAATTTGGACAGCTCAAAGCAATTTCAGTGCATCTTTATCCTAGAATGCCAAATACTGTTGGTCTTGCATATATATATATACACAGTCCATTGGCACTGGCCCCTTGATGCACCTGCCATTGAAATATTGTATGCTGAAACACAAGGGCTCTCTTTTAAGATGCAACAAATCCCACAAATGGAAATAGGATGGGTAGCGATCAAGTTTGTTTCAAGTTTGCCAACCAGGAGACCACAGTTTGGAGCTTTGTATTTGGCAAAACCCAAAGATATTCTGAGTAATTTTCCTTTTCAGTTGGTTTTCATTAGTGGTACAATTGATCATTCATTTACTAAACACAAATGAACTCACTTACATGCTTGATAATTGGTTCAGTTTACTGCACTCTCAAGCCAGTGGTCTCAGAATAGAAAAACAAAACAAAACAGTGGGCGTGTGACATTGTCATCATTGCCACCTGGCAGTAATGTTGACTGAAGCCGGGCTGTAAACATGCTGAATGCTGGACTGTGTGTCTGAGGTGCTGCATGAAAGTGCCATTTGTAATCAGACTATTGTTGATAGAGGATGAAGTTATTAAGATGAGATGCTCCAACCTGTACCTGTGGCATGGCTGCAGCCCAATCTGCAGCTGTTATTGCAGCCTAATGTCTGCCGCTACACTGCCAAGGTAGGACAGACCATGCTAGTTCAGGTGCATATGCAGACAGACAATTCCTTCACCAGGATTTAGTCTAGATGTGTTTCCTTTTAACCACACTGGGTTGACATGTTCACTGGAGGCAACCACAGCTAGTGATCGTTGCAAAGCAGCAGGCTTTTAGATGACCAAATGTGGTTACATTTAAGAGGTAGAATCTTATTTAGTTAGGTTTAAAATTAAAATTGCCAAAAAAACAAAACTGTATAGTTTTTAGTCATTTCAGATGACCATAACTTCTTGGCAAAGTTTAGAAATACACTGTCGTCTGAAGGAAACCATTGGCGCTCACACTTTCATCATTTGGTGGTTTTAAACAAATGTGTATATGTTTATATCGTATATGTACATCAGATCAGCTGGCTATTGCATTTGTTATATCCCATGTTGCCAAGAGGGAAGTTGCAAATTGCCCTCTTGTGGACAAACTATGCAGTATCAACACCTATAAGGCTGTTTCTCCGATTTCTTTTTTACTTTTTGCATTTTTTATTCACTGTTATAAATCCTGATACTGATATATCAGTAAGTATATCAGTATCAGCAGGGCTGACATACCAGTCTGGCTTTAATACAGTGTATTTAACTGCAACCTCAGGATCTCTTTCAAAGTGCCCATATGGACAGACTTAAGAATGAGATCCACTTCTGCAGTACCTTGCTGACAGACACCTATTGTGTATCTGCAAGATGCCAGTGGCTCTGGCAGAAAGGTAGTGTTTGATGTCCTGAATAAGAACACGTTGTACTTTCATACACCAACTCTACACATACATTCATAAATAAATGACACGCGGGGCAGTTTCTGAAATTTTGTCTAAGGATACTTTAATATGAAAACTGCTGGTGGATGACCCCTTGAGTCACAGTTGCTATCGTGATCAACAATATTGACACCTTTCCAGCTTCACATTTTGGAAGGTATCTCGCCAGCAATTTTGGTAGTATTCTGAAACTGACACACCAACAACTACACCAATGTAAGCCATTCATGCAGCACAGAAAAGGGAGAGCAGGGTTTGAACTTCTCTCTAAAAGTGCCATCACTCACGCTTTTCATGTCTACAACCAAATACAACATAGTGAATTCTTTGTGAAGAGCATATGATTATCCTTTTTAATGACATGGGGCTTTTCATGATGCCATCAAGTGTGGCCATTCATAACAGCTAAACTGGACAGACAGCACTTTGTACTAACTAGTTCTTTTCAAGCATAATGCACTCTTTGGATCAATTGCCAGACAAAATGCCCTCACTTCTTACAACTCTAATGGATCCACTCAAGCGTAGAAGTCCAATAGCACACAACAATGTCCATTTGTACAATAGTGAAGACACATTAACAAAGACATTATGCATTTTCTTATCTGATATTAATCTGTTAAGATGTTAACCTTCAAACAGCCCTTTAAAGTTTCAAAGCCTGGCCAAAATGTCCTCACTACACTGGCTTCAAATAAAAGGTGTCTACACAAACACAGACCCACATCTGATAGGTGGAGACAGTTAAGAGTTATCGGTGTAGATTAACACTCTCCTCTGTACAAAGTCAGCCCGCCATGCACTGTGTGTGTGTGTGAGTGTGTGTGTGTATCTAAGTAAACGGGCGTCCACTTCTGTCAGTGCAGATGTGTGTGTGTGTGTGTGTGTGTATCTAAGTAAATGGGCGTCCACTTCTGTCAGTGCAGATGTGTGTGTGTGTGTGTGGGTGTGTGTGTGTGTCCCTGCTTGTATGTGAGTCCAGTTTATGTGTCTGGGTACGTGTGTGTGTGTGTGTGTGTCCATCCATCCAGAAAATAAAGCCTTATTGAGGATGAAATGGGATTTTTAATTGGCTGAGCCTCGGCCTAACGGCGCCGCGTGAAACTTCACGGCCCTTTGTACAATGTCACCGACACACACACACACACACATTCACAATGGGCCCCAGCACTATCACGATAACACACATACAACAATGCAGACTCCTCTGTGGGCATGTACCGCACACATATTCAACAGTGCACGCACTCACACACACATTACGTCTCCGTGTCAGGGAGTATCGATTAGACCATTTAGTCCAAATAGAGGGGAACACTGGACCCCGTCAGGGAGACCTCCTTAACAGGCTCATTTACACACAAACACACACACTTTGTCTGTCTTTGTCTTACTAAAACACAACTGCAGTTAACTGACGCACACATTTGGCCTTTTGCTCCACTCCCTTCTTTGCTTTTCTCTCCCACTTGTTTAAAAATGGATACGCAAACCTGTTCTCCAACACACACACATACAGACACACAAATGCAGAGAGTGATGCGCCTGTTAAAAGGTTGTGTCCATGTCTGACAGGCCCTCTAAGAGCACTGCATCGATTTTCCCCTCTGCTGACTGACTACGAGAGCAAGTGAAAGAAAGTGAAAGCAAGAAATGTGGTGTCAATAAATGGAGCAAGGCACTAATACATCCAAGGTTACGGGTTCCATTCTCACCAGTGCCTGAAATATTCTTTGTCTTGTTCTTCTGCTGCTGTGGGGCCTTTTCGATGAAAGTCTTCGTGTATATTTATAGCGAGCGGATGGAGGTTGTGTGTGTTTAACTGATAGTCACAGCTTGTGAGCATGAAACTTGAGTATATACTGTCTTATCCGATCTGCCGCCCTGAAAAGAATCAATTTCAGACGGCAACGCGGAGGATTTCAATTTAGCAAAGAAAAGCTGGGAGGGCTTTAAGTTCAATATCGACGGTATCCAAGTGAACACTGTACACAACATTTCAATGTTAAAGTGTGTATGAGACTGTAAATGGGACTGAGAAAGGTGCAGTAAATCGACACTATCAGTACCATTTGTGCTCGCTGTAATTATGGCTGTTTCTTAATTGTGATTGGATGATTAAATGTTGTTACGTTGTTTACAAATTTAGATCTGTTGTTTACAGAAGACTGAAATTAACCAAAAGTCTTTTGAGTTGGCACAACAACACCATGTTGAACTGATGATTGTATCATACTGTAGTCGTTTTTTCAGTGTTATGAATCATATTTCACAATTTCACAAACACCGTAATTGTTTTGTTTATTTAGTTGTATTTTTATCAATAGTTATCTTTTTCCTTTGTTTTTTTCTTTGTTTTGGTTTTTCCAAATGTTTTGGATTTTTTTGTTAATCAACGCAAATGCAAGCTACCAGCAATATGTAATTACTTCATTTAATCAACAATTTCAATATTAAGGAGATGCTTTAATAATATTAATGATGCAATAGTAAATCTAAAAGTGGCATTAAACATATTGAATATAGTTACTTTAAGTAAAACTCAAAATTATGTTGAAAATCTTGTACAGCACCACTTTCATGCAATAAATCTGTATCTCTATGACAGTTTTATACATTTATTTTACCCCCACCCACCCTGTACCGGGTACCTTGTATGGTTAAAGCTTTATTACAGAAAAGATACAGTGTTTTCCAAACCTTATTTTAAAAGCTAAAGCATGAATGACAAATTAAAATCAAACCTGTTGGTTCTGTTTATGCACAGGGACACATTGTCTTAATGTGCTTATCAGTGGGTGATTCAGTGAAATGGTTTTCAGTGCAAAAATAATTATAGATCTGGATTTTATGCATTTTTCAAAAGACCCTTCTATTAAATGTCTTCTCTATTCAGTTCATTTTGTATTTATTTATTTATTTAAAAAAAAACATGTTGGTGCAATTGCATTGTCCTTTATTATATATCCATCAGCCACAACATTTAAACTGCTGGCCTAAGTTTGTCAGTGATATTTAAAAGTGCAGTGTGAATAACAATTGTTAATTAGGTCTTGTGTAATAAAAGTTATAATTTTAAATAGATGTGGTTAATATTTTGAAGGTTTTGCATGAACAGGAATGAGATTAAACTGTCTTTCTATTTGTCTGCTTAAGGTCTCATCAGGTCCAGAGTGCGGGGGACGGACGCTGCAAGAGCCAAAGTGCTGACCTTCCTGGACAGCCACTGTGAGGTCAACAAAGACTGGCTGCCACCCCTCCTGCAAAGGATCAAAGAGGTGTAACTGCATGTTCATTTATAAACCCTAATGCAACAAAGTATATGTGAGTCTGAAAGCTTCTCTATCAAATTACAACCCTCTCATGTTCCAGATGTGTCTATATATACACACAAATATATGTGAGTCACGAGGCATAATGACCAAGGCCAATCTGCAAATATGGCATGCTTTACTGCTCAACAAAAAGCCTCTGCGTGATGACTCCAGTGGTCGAAGTGAAATCGTGCCATTAAAGAAAATAGATGCCGGTCTGATTGCCTCTCATTAAGAAATAAGTGCGGTACTCTCTTCTTCACCCCTCTTACTCTCCAGTCTGCTGTCCTCTGCTTGTGTCTGCTCTTCTTGTCCTCCCCATCCAATCTCTCATCACCTTGTTTTGCCTCCTCTCACCACCTCTTCTCCGCTCCCTTTTGTCCTGTCACATCTCTCTTCCTTTCTTCCTTTTTTCCGTCTCTCGTCTCCTTTACTTTTACTTACTCTTCGGTACCATTGCACCTTTTCTTTTCCATTTTCATCTCCTCTCCTGTTTTCACCTCTTATCCAACAATTTTGGTTATCGCACTCTGTTCTACTTTCCCCACCTCATGTCTTCCTCCCTGTGCTACTGCCATTACTCTCACACCTTTGCTTTTCTTCCTTTTCTCTTTACATCTCCTCGTAATTTTCCCCCTCCTTTCTCTGGCCTCCTCTCAGCTTCTTTCTGGCCTCTTGAAACGTCCACTTTTCTTTTCTATCCCCATCTCTTTTCCTCTCTCATTTCTCTGCTCTCTTGAAATCTCCCTATCCACTTCCTCTTGCATCCTTTTCTATCCTACCCTGGCTTTACACATACCATCACCTTCCTTTGATTTGCTTTACGACATTACATGGCCTTTCTCATCTCCTTCCCTGTCCATGTGCCTCGCATACTCTCTTCTCCAGTTCATTTTAATTTTAACACCTGTCTTGAACTTCTCCAATTCATCAAGTCAACAGTTGTTTGCCTGCTATTAAAGACCTTTGATCTCAATCTGCAGAGAAGCGATCAATAAATCCACCAGACAGTCTGATCTGTTTCTGCTGCTGTACCATCACCATCCATATTTATACTCGTGGTTTATTCATGTGTGTGTGCTTGTGTGTGCGCGCCTGTGTGTGTTCAAGCACAAAAGTGATCTGTCACTGTCTATGTAGTCACTCTATAGTCGTATATTTAGATTTAAATGTATGAGGTATTGATCCGATTAACACACACGCGTAGTCAAAACGCCAGGCTACCGTAAAATCACATTCCCCGCAAAATAATTGTCTGTCTTATTGATATAGAGAGCTAAAGTCTTGTCCAAATTTCAGGTTATCTGCTTTTCTGTATTTCACATCTGATCAATTTTATCATATATTTTGATTTTGTTGTCTTTTAGTTGTTGTCAAGCTTTTTCTGTTTTGCCAGAAAAGCCTTTTTTTGAATACTTTACTGTTTGATGCTAACAAATCATTTTGTGTCAAATAAATAATTTATTGTAATTCCATTGTCAGGGAAGTAATTGAGAAATAATACATGCAAATATGCATCTTCTCATTTGAATAAATAGAAATTTCCCAGCTTTTTACCACTGATTGAATCTAGAGAGTATTTACTCACCCTCATGTCTATCACATTACCGCTTTTGCTTTTGTCTTTCAGCACCAAGGCAACAATTTATTGTAATTGTTCACCAATTAACAGTAATATTTTCAGAGCATGTCAACATAAAAGGATCCTGGTTGTGTTTAGCAACATTGCTCATTTGTTGCTATATGTGCATGTGCAATCAAAGAGAGCTGCAAAACAAAAGCGATAATCACAATGAACGGCCAAACATGTAGTGAATATGTTGATGGTTTCATTAGTATTTCCAGTCATTTCTTAGGAAATGACTGGAAATAGGACAGTGACAGGGCTATTTAGGCACTATGGACGCTCAGTGAACATCACCTATAAACCTCACTCCTAAATGAAGGAAAAGAAAACAGAATAATTGTTTACATGAAGAGCAATGAACAAAATTAACACTAGCACTCCCTGCATGCACTGTTGGATTTAAAAATTGATTTGAAAGATGGTATTAGTGATTAAAAATATATAAAGAATTGCATTAAAGCCTAGAGTGCTTGTTGTTTTGGAATAATGGGTTTTCTGAAGGGACAATTTAGATGATAATTTTGTCAATAGTCAAACGTCTGCCTCGACACAACTTCCTTGCATGCTTGCATAAAATACTCAAGGACGACTATGTAAAACAGGTCATTTATTAAAATTCAATATTCATTTATAAAATCATTTATAATTCATTTATACATTTATTCATTTGTAAAATTCAATAAATGTTTGAAAGTTGCACTTTAAAAACAAGAGTCCAAAACCATAAAAGAAGCAGATTGCTTTGGGGTCAGAAGTATGTATGTGTATATATGTATATATTGTACTATTCTTAGTTAGTGTATTGTCTGTCTTGTCTTAATGTTGGTTTAAAATGGAGCACTGTAACAAAAAATAATTTCCCCCAGGGATTAATAAAGTATTCTGATTCTGATTCTGATTCTGAGATTCCTCTCAACTTACTCATCAAATATTCTCATTTCTATTCAGGTGAAGGGAAAAAAAAGAAATGGCTAAAATTAAGAAAATGCTCCAGAGTGATTTGAAAATAACAGTTATCCGGTTACGACAGTAATGTCGTGATGCTTCACCCTGAGTGCTGCACAGTGTCATTACCCTAACAGCTATTAAAGCAGACAGAGTGCTTTGTAATGTGGCTGAAGCTGTAGAAGGATGCAGCTTGCGTCCCCTTGCACTGACCCTGCAGCTAATGGTCCAGAACCGCTCCACCTGCTCTGTAATATCACTGGCTGAAGATGCATCCAGCGTTTGACCAAACTAATAGAGGGACACTTCATGATTTAAAAGGGAGTGCAAGTATGGCAGCGCCAGTGTGTGTGGGTGTGTGCAAGTGAGATTTTGTACCTTTTATCCTTGTAAAGAGCAAATGGCACCATCAAGGAAAAAATATGAGGAAAATCAAGTGCAGCCATTTTTGCCAGTTTTCACTTTAAAAGGATTTAGGACTCTGTTTAAGGGTTAAGGAGGCAATAACTAAACTAAATCCATGAGTATCTTATGGCCTTATGGACGATTACACAGGGTTGAGGGATACGGGAATTTTTGTTGGTGCTTGATATTATCCCATTTTTTACAGTCTCATCAACCAGTCACAAATATCAAGCATTACATTTTTAATGGCTTTAAATGTTCACTTAAAAAGTTAGAAATGCTTTACACGCTAACCTTTTTCCCCGCATCCTGTCTGCATGATTTAAGCTTATAAATTTGCTCATTTCCAACACAGAAATGAAATCTATCTATAGGATTAGTTGCTCCACTGGGACATGAGTCGAGGTCTGTCAGCAAGCTTAGTAGAAAACTGCCAGCTGGATTTCATGAAAGTTGGTAGAGGTGAATTACAAGAAACACCAGAAAAATAGAGGAAAAAAAGGTTTGGTGCATTTCCAGACCACTTTGTTTAAAAGTGGAAAATAGTTCATTGATGGAGGATGTGCTTTCCAAATGTTTTTTAAAAATTATTGTTGCGCTACACTGAGGATCTTATTCTCTGAACCACATGAACCAAACTGTAGAGTTGAGTGGGCAGCTGCTTGGTTGTTACTTCAGAAAAGTCTCAAAAGTGCCATAAACCAGAAAATCACTGTAATAAAGTGGCGTGCAGAGCACAAGAAATACAAATTACAGTGGCTGAAAAGTCAAGCCAATGAAGCCAAGCTTCAGTTTCTTAAATAACCACTTGGGGTTGGCTTAAACACAAAGGGTCAGCTTTAGAGCAGAAATACATTGTCTTACAACCAAAATCTCTCTGGTTTTGATCTCTCTGGTTATTTTCTTCCTTCTGACAGCCCTGTGAAGGAGGAGTTTTATATTACTTACCTTAAAGTTAAGGATTTGGTTGATTTAAAAGACTAGTAGGTATGAACACAAGGGGCATGCTGAACTCTAGCCAGGTAGTAAATTAGCTCTCCCCATCTCTAATCAAAAAGTATCTTTGTCTGTGTCTCTACTCCAATATGGTCGCATCCACCAAAATAAACAGAAAAAAAAGAAAGATTTGCAAGCCAATAATTAAAAACATGTATTAGTAATATCAGTCTTTTATATAGCACAGTCAATGTCATGCTCTAAATATGCACTGTGCTCAAACATCACTTGACAAAAAATTATGCAGCCAGCTTTGCTGTTGTAGTAAGACGAAGACAAAGCTTTCCATCAGGATAGCTAGGTGTCAGACCTTTCTTTATTCGTCAATTCCAATATAGCCCTAACACAAATGAAATGAAATACCAGAGCCCGTATTGAACTTCGCAAACTAAAATATTGAATTCTACACAGCCTTACACAGTTTACCTCCAGTAACCTATTGATGTGTTACTCATTTTCTCTGCTGCTTCTTAATAAATTGTGTTGTCACCTAAAAGCATTTTCTGTATCTCTTCATTTCATGTGGCTCAGTGGTCTGACATTAATGACAGAGAAGGGAATAAAGTAGCACTGAATTAAAGTCAACAGAGGTAGTGGTCAATCTCACCTTGCTACATTTGCTGTCTGCATGATTGTTGCTGAATGACTGAAATTCCCTTTCGGAGAAGTGCAGTATAATGACCTTGGAGTTTACAGTCTGTTTCACACACAGATGAACACACTGGACTGAGCGCCTCATTTATTCGAACAGAATTTGGTGATGAAAGCAGAAACACATTCACTTCTTTCTCTTTTTCTTCCTTGGTAGCTTGTTTTATTTCCCTTGCATTACACTTTTTAAAAAATTAATCTGAAGCCCTAATTAAGCATAAATGTGTGCGGTTCTTTTTGTGTCTCCAGGACCCGTCTCGAGTGGTTAGCCCAGTCATCGACATCATCAACATGGATACGTTTGCTTATGTGGCAGCCTCTGCCGATCTCCGTGGAGGTACACAACCACTTTCTTCCATCTACACTGAGAAACAAACGTCTCTGAGGCACCTTTGGGTTGTGTTTTGATGACAGAGAGAAACCCCTTTGGGCTTCTGACTTATGAGGTGGCCCTTGATGATAAGTTTGTGATGAGTTCATGAACCTGTTCTCTCTGGCTGCTGTGAACATTAAATGCTTTGAGATATTTTTTTTCCTACTTCTTCTTCTTCTTCTTCTTCTTCTAGCAGTGACTCTTATTCGCTCATATTGGACCCCTCGAGAATAGTTGCTGTCCTTGAATCATCTTATCTTTGAAATGTGCACTAAAGTCCCTCAACCGTGTCCTTGAATATTCAGATTTTGTTAGAGTTGCCCTTTTTTTCTGCCCAGTTTCTACACAGATAAGTGCTGATGTCTTGGTTTTAAACTGTGCAGCGAGTGCACCAACTTTCTTTCCATCATTGTAAAAGGGAACTAGAGACTGTAGGTTTATGTTCTCAAATGTAATTGTTTATTTTTAAGAAATAAACTACAACAGTCTTAAGGTCTCAAATGTCTCAAATGCTGTTTGATGTTGAAAAAGCAGAGGCATGAATCGAAATATATTTCCAAATAAAAGAACGAAACGCCTTTTATTATTATTTATCATAGTTTTGTCTTTCTGTTAATAATTCTTCTAAGACAAAAAAGGCTAGCAGGTGGAATTTTGCATATTTAGTTACTCTCAGAAAATGTTCCCCAGTCACATCCCCAACTTTTCAATTGTTTGATTAATTGACTACAGCATGGCATTCAGCTGTGGACTGCAGATGTTCACTTACCTATATAACACAAACTCTGTGAAAAACATGGAGTTTCAGAGAACTGTGATGGTCAAAAAGACTTAGGACACAACACTAATCCAACACAAGAATCAGTTTGCATGCAAGCTGTGAAAGAATGATCACATCTTCATATTTTGTATCCAAGGATCCCGACCTTCTTGTAATTTTAAAGTGGTCTTTAAAGCAATTGGTCTCCAGGCTTTCTGAAGGACTTTTAAAGTGTTTCTTTGCATATTGACTGCTTTGTCACTCATCTTCAGTCCAGTCCAGTCGCTTTTTACCTGACTGTTTCCAGTGTATTTTTATCGTTGTTTGTTTTCTTTTAGGTTTTTCTTTCTTTCTTTTGTTTGTTTCTTAATGATTTTATGAATCATTCAAAGGATGAACTGGTGTTGTGTGCAAACTTTGATTTAGTGTTTGTCATAATTTAAGCTTCTAGATTCTTTTAGTTTGAGTTTAGTTCTAGTTGATTAAATATGATAAGATTATAGTAGATTAGACTGAAGTTGTTTCAGTTGACTAAAATAGTTTTCACCAGTGACAGTGGCGCCACATGTTTCACGTGTCTTATCTTCCTTGACATCAAATGAGAAACGTGTCCATATGGCTGCTCTTGTCTTTCTACCAAGAGTTGACATTTCATCACGTTTTGATGACAAACAGGGAGCGTGGGAGCCTCCCCCTCACACCCTGTTTTTTCTGTGACAGATCAAAACATGAAAGAAAGATTAAGCTGTGCCAAGTTACACAAGAACTGGACTGAAAATCAGTGGAAACAGGTCTTATGGTATTTTTTAGCATGACAATAATTCCAAACACACAGCCAAAGCAGTAAAAGCACACAATGGACCACTATCAGCATGGATTGGCCTCCCCAGACCTCTACATTATTTAAGTAATAAGGGTCATCTTGACAGAGAACAGAACAAAAGGCAGCAAACATGCAAAGAACTTTGAAATGTCCTTCAGGAAGCCTGGGGAACTATTCCTGAAGACTACTAATAGAAATAATAAGAAAGATACCTAAGAGAGACCGATCTCTCACTCCATGTATATGTGCACTTTTAAATAAATCCCTGAACATATTGAGGGGTGGCTCAAGACTCTTGCCCAGCATTGTCTATATGTGCACAGTAGGGTTCTCTCACACAGCTTTGAAATGTGCTTAAAGTGTTGGCACATAAAATGACTCTTTGAACAGTTAACACAGTCCTTTTAATTTGTTGATATCAAATTCTTAGATATCAGTCAGTTTGTTTGCTGCCATCAGGATCCTGACATCATCTTTAAGACCATCATGCTTTTGTAAATGCTTTTTAAAACATTAAATTAGTAACTTGAATAAATGTAGAAAGTGAACATTTCTATTAGCTCAGCAGGATTATACTCGCAGATGAGCTAAAGCTAAACGGCCTGAAAATAAGCCAGAACAACACATAACTGTGTTCTCTGTCTGCGATCTGCACTACCTCCCACTTTATCTGTTGACTTCATAGTACCTCTCTCCTTCCATTAGACTCTTTTACCAGTCTTATTTTCTTGGTGAAAGCAGTCCACCAATCAATGCAGATAATAGGGCTGTCCACTGTGCACGCACAATCACACAGGAAGGAGAATCGATAGCGATAGTCGTGCTTATAAAGAGCATTTTAATTATAGATGAACCTGTCGCTGAAATCATAAAAAAGACGGTCATCAGATCCATCTGCATTGATCCTGACATTCACACACATGTTGAAGTCTAAAGACATGCCAACAGAGAGTGGAGGGGGAGTACTGTGGTAGCTAATCCGTGACCTGGTGGACTGGCACACAAAAAACTACACAAGCCAACACATTTTCTTTGCTGAAGTTTTTCCTCTAGTATCAGAAAAATAAAATATATCTCTATTTGTCTTTTCATTAACTATTTTATATACATATTCTAAAGAAAGCATAGCATAACAGTGACCTTGATGTTTTGGTACAGCACAGTAGCCTCTGTACTCAGTATTATTTAAAGCATGTTCTTTACTCTGTTGTTCTCCCTCAGGCTTTGATTGGAGTCTCCATTTTAAGTGGGAGCAGTTGTCGCCTGAACAGAGAGCCCGCCGGACTGACCCGACCCAGCCAATCAAGTAATGCACGCATACACAAAAACTCAAACATTAAAATGTATAACTGTGGGTGTATAGATTCTGAACCCAGGGCTCATTAAGTAAGTGCAGACAAGTGGAAACAGAGAAGGCAGAGAAGAGGAGGTTAAAGAGTAGGAACAAAGGACAAGAGTGGGAGTGAGGGGACAAAAGGAAAGAGATGCACTGAAGTCTGATGAAAGGATGAAAAGGAAAAAGTGTAATAGCACGGGTTTAGTTGTCTTCTTAGGATGAATTCTGAACAATTAAGTTCATTAAAAACTTGAAGAGTAAATGTTTTAAATTTTCACCAAATCCAGAAGATGCTGACGGTGAAATAAATAGATAACATTTTCATATGTATCGTTTTACAGACTTGAGTGCAGGGTTTTACTTGTTGCTAAATAAAGTGTGTGTGTATTTTTATGTGTGTGTGCGATTGATCCATACAGCATAATTATTATTAGGGACTCTGCAGGAGAAAAAATATTTGACTCAACATTTTTAGCAGTATTTAACTCCACCAATAACATATTTCTGTCTACAAGCAGAGGTTAAAGTGGGCCAGAATGATCTGGAATAACATTCTAGCAGCTTTCATTAATAACCAATTAAGATAAAAGCAGATAAAGTAAAAATAATCTGCTTTGCTTATCCCCAATGTTGGAAAGGACAACAACCTATAACAAATAGCTTCAATAAAGCAGAACAACTCAGTATCTTAAAATATAACATGACCATAAGACAAAACAAGGAGGGCTGGATTTGGATAGATCCAGCCCTCCTTACTCATCTATAATTATAACCATACACTGGACCACATTTACAGGCTGCACAACGAAATCAAGCTACTTTGAATCATATTATGAATCTCTGTGCCAAATTAGAAACATACACGTGGATGGAGGATTGTAGCCACAGTTATAAAAGTGCAAAATTATTTTTCTTTATGTGAGGTAAAGTAGTGCAAATGGTAAGAAAGGTGATAAGTAGACAGCATCAGCAGACTGGTCAAATTTCTTTTTAGTGTATTTTTTTTTCTGGCATCTCCATTCTGCCATCTTAAAACGACCTCTGTTGTCAAAATCTCACTTTTATATTTTACAGAATTTTACACACACCTGAACCTCATTAGTCTCTACTGTTTAAAAAAAAAAAGGCTAAACCAAACAACGAAATCTAAACAAAGAAACAGGAATAAGATTATTCATCTAATTTACAAATTCATTTACACAAATAAATGGTTTGAAAAGAAAACAACTTCACTATGCAAAAAGGAAAAACCATTTGGTTGTACCCAATAATAATGGATTTGATTTATATAGCGCTTTTCAAGGCACCCAAAGCGCTTTACAATGCCACTATTCATTCACTCTCACATTCACACAGCTACAGTTGTAGCCACAGCTGCCCTGGGGCAGACTGACAGAAGCGAGGCTGCCATATCGCGCCATCGGCCCCTCTGGCCAACACCAGTAGGCAAGTAGGGTAAAGTGTCTTGCCCAGGGACACAATGATCGGGACAGAGAGCTCGGGGATCGAACCGGCGACCTTCCGGTTATAGATACGCTTCCCAACCCCCTGAGTCACAGTCGCCCAGTGATGCAATCAATGACATCATGATATAAACCCCATATAAACAGGAAGTGCTGGGCCGGCCCCTCCCCCACCCCCTTTTTTGGATGTAAGATCTGAACAAAGGGACAAACTATTGTGTAATTTACCAGAAATTGACCTTTCAACAGAAGAAAATTCAAATGATCTTATGTTTCAGTAGTATTTGCTTTAAAAACATACGCATGGATGTAAACTGTAACATAAAGCTACCACAAACAAACCCGGGATAGTATGTAGAGCAAAGTTACAACAGCAATGTCTAAACTATAGCATTATGGCCAACTGTAAAATAACATGGGATAAATTATAAATATGTTTAAGGGACAAGTGGTAAATAAATTCAATCTTTTCTCAAGGTGTTAGAGCAGGTTAGCACAGTACGTGGCAGTTCAGAATATCCTCAACACATTTCTGTTGGTTTTCCAGTGGGATCACACTTAAAGTAAGCTGTGCGAGGTGATGAATGACCTCCTTTTGCTTCCAAAGAGACACGAGTGTAACTCCTCAAAGTCGTACCGTGCCCTCCTCAGTCATGCTGCCAGGATTGCTGCAGATACACGAGCTACTATTAACTGAATAATTAAAATGAGCATGGCTGGTACTGCAAAAGGTTATTGGTGATGTGGGTGGTTGATTTTTTCATTACCAAGCTGCATCAATTCATTTTACTTATAGTTGTAAAAGTACACCGAGCAGGCACAATGACCGTAACACCAACGCTATCAGTAAGGTAAAAGTTATGCAAAGGAAATCAGGACAATTCGATTTTAGAAAGCACCCACTGCATAAAACAATAAATAAGATAATATAACGCCATGTAAAAAGGCAGAGTATAATACAACAAGGAGCAAAAATCTAAAGAAAATGAATACAGGTGTTGTGGTGTGAGGTAAAAGTATTTCTGTCATTTGGCAGTGGAGCTGAAAGCTGAAAATGTTATTACAGAAAGCTCTGCCTTTCCAGTAAGTGGTTCAGTGGGAGGCCTGGATTAATGGCAGTTCTTTCAGTGGCCTCCTCTCTACCACAGCCACCAGTTATTTGGATGCTGCGTTTGCAGGTTTGCTACATTTAAAAATGTCTCATGCTGCATCTGTGTTATTGGCAAATTGATACGTGTTACCAGCTTAGTTAATTTTTCATCTGACGCATCCCGGTGTCCCTTCCCACTGATGCAATTGAGATACTCAACAAATCAGAAAGTAGTGTCACCCTATGGTCCTGTCTGTGCTCATTTGATCACAGACTTGTCGTCCTCTTGTCGTCCCTGTCATGTGTTCATGCTTGCTGATGTCAACAAAGTTAATCTGGGAAAACGTCCGTACCTACAGAGTGGCTGGTAATTTCAAACAGCTCAACAAATACCACCAAGCATACATACAAACAAAAAAGTTGATATTTTATATAAAAGTTGTGATGTTCTGATTAAATTTATATTATTTTTTTAAAACGATGATACTGTACTTTTGTCAAAGGTTATACTAGACAGTAGGTGCAGATTATGGAACTGTGGAGTTTGCAGTAGTGTGATTTATAGTTATTGATGATGCAGGTGCAGAACAGCCTGTAGCATCCATTGGCACTGTTAGGTCAAAGGTACCAGACTTTAAATTAAACGTAAGCTGATGGTGGTTTTTAATATTGCTCACCAAATGTAACTTTTTTAGAAAACAGTCCGGGTGGAATCAAACCCTAACCCCTGCAGTCTTTCACCATATAGCTCACCTCACTTATTCTTAGCAAAGTAATATTTCTCTGCTACACCAAATTGTACCACCTTCAAATTCCCTTTTTAACCCATTTCTATAATATTTTTGTTGGAATTGCTTTTTGGTCCAATTATTTATACTTTTTATTTTATCTTATAATAAACTTGCCACACTCATGTGCTTGTTACTCATTTCAAACCAGATTTCTTATTATTTTCTTATTATTGATACTTTTAAAGCTAAACTGTGAAGGTTTTCTTCACTTTTGTGTTTTTTTTTGTGCATAAACGTTCAGAAACATATAGACAGAGAGCAGTCAAAGAAATGGTGGAAAACTGAGGCGCATAAAACTAAAACAGCATCAAAATCTACACCCAATATTTCCTTTTATTAAGTCCACATTGGCAAATAGAAATGCAGCTATACCTTCCAGCAACGCATTCCTCAGTGTGCAATAGTTTTTCATGTGTTTACATTTGCCTTTGGGAAGTTATTAAAAACAAAAATCTACAGATTTTGCCTTTCAGGCCCATTTTTCTGCTTTTATTAAAAAAATCTGAACCCATTGTCATCCTTCTCTTTGTGGAATTTTTGTATTTGTTATGTATGTCCTATTCAAATATAGAGTAATGATATATGTATAATATGAAGTATATATAATGAATATCTTGTTTTTGTACAATGAGCTTAAACTTTTGTCTTTAGAGTCTAAATTTCTCTATAGGTTGTTTATTATGAATGCATGTAAGTTTATCAGACCTCATTAGCCCCCGAGAGGGACAATGGACCCCCTAATTATCCTCTACCTAATCAAATGAGCCAAGGTGTGAAAACGGGTGTAGGTCACAATCAGCCAAGGTTTCGATGAGCTAATTGTGAAACCTAGGCCCACCCTATCATGTGACTTCTTGAGGTCAGACGGCCCAGGATGTGACTGGGCATTAAGGCGTCTGGGAAGGGATCTCAAAACTGGATTGTAGATGGCAGACAGTTGGTGTCATAAACTACCGCCTCTGTTCAAAGATGGTCACTCACAGTGGACATAGATGGCCTCTTTTACTCCTCTTTCAAACCATCTGTCCTCTCTGTCCAAAATGTGAACATTGGCATCCTCGAAGGAGTGACCTTTGTCCTTTAGATGCACATGGACCACTGAGTCTTGTCCCGTGGAGGTGGCTCTTCTATGTTGTACCATGCGTTTTTGAAGTGGCTGTTTGGTCTCTCCAATGTAGAGGTCTGGGCATTCCTCGCTGCACTGTACAGCATACACCACATTGTTAAGAGGTTCTTAAAAGGTTCCTTTTTCATAAAGCTTAAACTTACTGTTGGATCAGGTGACCCTGAACCATCCTTCATCATGATGCTTCCAGTAACTATTATCTACCGTCAACCTCCAACCACACATAGTAGGTGGCTGCTTTTCTCTGGGCTTGGTTCTTCTGGGGGTGCCTTCCTGTAAAAAGGGAGTTCTTTCTCCCCATTTTCAAGTGCTTGTTAATCGGTATCACCCATCAGATCATTGGGTTTCTTTCTTTAATATTGCAGGATCATTACGTTAGTATAAAAAGTGCATCGAGATGTGTTGTTGTGAACCAGTACTAGAAAAAAACTGCTGAATTCATAAAATTCCAAATAGACCACAGTAAATGCAGCTGACTAACTAATGTTGGTTACCTTATG